TTGCTTTAGGGATCAGGCACAAAATAGTACTTACAGCTTCCATCAGGATTTGAAGATCTGCATCAGGAATCTGTTGCCCAATCTTTTGCAATCCAATCCTTAGCTCTTCAAGGTTTATTTTCCCTCTATTCCCAGTGTCCAACATTGTAAAAGCATCTTTTATGCCAGCAACTATTGGAGAGTATCACGGAGTAGAATGAGGAAATCAGGAAATCAATTTCTGCACTATCACTGCAGAGTTATTTACAGAATGTATATATTTTTTCCTTGTACAGTAGCGTCTTTCTAGGCTTCATTATTGGTATCAGTTTGTATATATGATTAGCATCCATAGTAATGAAATTCAAGCAATTAGCACAATTTGCTGCTCCATACTCTATTTTCTCATGGTATCAGAGCAAAGGAGTCTAAATTGACAGCAAGGTTTTGCTGCAACAGCAGGTTAGAACAGCAAATTTTGCTGCCCTGAGAAATCAATGATGACAGACAATGACCAAGCCAAGAAAGGATCTGGGGGAGCAAGGGGAGACAAGGCTGCCCTCAAGACAACAGATCTGGACTCACCTTATTATCTTCATCCCAGTGATGATCCTGGCAGGGTTCTAGTCACATCTCCTTTAACAGGAGAAAACTTCCATACATGGAGGAGAGCGATGCAGAATGCTCTATATGCAAAGAACAAAATGGGGTTCGTTGATGGAACTCTTAAGAAGCCAAGTACAGATTGTCCAGAATTTCTGGCTTGGACGAAGTGTAACTCCATGGTGTTGTCATGGATATTGAATGCTCTCTCAAGGTAATTACATAGCAGTGTGGCCTATGCGGAGAGTGCAGCAGAGGTCTGGGAAGATTTGAAGGAACGTTTCTCACAAGGAAACACATCCCGGATTTATGAACTAAAGCTCGAGCTCGCAACAACCACTCAACAAACAAGATCTGTAGCAGCTTATTTCACAAAATTGAAACCCATTTGGGATGAGTTGCAGGCTCATGAACCTGTGCCAACATGTACTTGTGGCTGCACTTGTGGTGCAACAAAGGAGTTTACAAGGGCACGAGAGACTGAGAAGGTTCATCAATTTCTCATGGGCTTGAATGAGAATTTTTCTACCATGCGCTCACAGATCTTGAATATGGAACCATTACCATCTCTCAACAAGGTTTACTCAATGGCCACAAAAGAAGAAAAACAGCAAATGGTGTCTGCATCTAGAAGTCCAGCTATAGAGGCAACGGCTTTAGCAGCAAAGACAAGTTATAATGGAAAGGTGAGCACATCAGGGAAACCACGCTGTGACCACTGCAAAAGGATAGGCCACAGAAAGGAAAGATGCTATGAAATAATAGGCTATCCAGCGAGTTGGAAACCAGGACAAATGCAGATGAGGGGTAAGGGGGAGCAGCAAAAACATCAGAACACAGATAAGGATGTGATTTTTGCAGCAAATGCATCACTTGACCCACAAATGACTAGAGGTCAATTGGATCAATCGCCAATTACAGGACTTACCAAGGCGCAGTATGATCAACTCCTCACGCTTCTTGGTGGTAATTCTGATTCTAAACAATCTATCAATCTTGTTGGTAAGACCTCACATTCTTTTCTTTCTTGGATAATTGACAGTGGTGCATCTAATCACATGACGACGAGAGAGACGTGCTCCTCAGCATCTTGATGACTATGTCTGCACCATGCCCACATCCCTTCAGCCCACAAAAGCTCCATTACAGTCAACCAACTCAGGTACGTCATACCCTCTGTCTAACTGTGTCTCATATAATTCTTTTTCACTCCCTCATCAGACCTATCTTGCAGCCATATCCTCTATAGATGAGCCTAAAACATTTTCTCAAGCCATCAAACATGAAAAATGGCGAGAAGCAATGAGGAATGAGATCACTGCACTTGAGAAGAATGGTACTTGGACAATTGAGACATTGCCTCCAGGTAAACGTGCAATTGATTCGAAGTGGGTATACAAGGTTAAATTCAAACCGGATGGGACAGTTGAACGGTATAAAGCCAGGTTGGTGGCCAAAGGCTTCACACAAATTGAAGGACTGGACTTCCATGAGACTTTTGCTCCTGTCGCAAAAATGGTAACAGTGAGAGTGTTGCTTGCTCTTGCATCCATTAAACAATGGGAATTGCACCAATTAGATGTGAATAATGCCTTCTTACAAGGTGATTTACATGAAGAGGTATATATGCAGATACCACAAGGTTTTGGTTGCAGACAAAACAATAAAGTTTGCAGATTGCGCAAGTCTCTATATGGTCTGCGGCAAGCCTCAAGAAACTGGTTTGAGAAGTTCACAAATTCTCTTTTGGCAGCTGGTTTTTGTCAATCAAAAGTAGATTACTCTTTATTCACCTCTACTACTGATAATAAGTTTGTTGCAGTTTTGATCTATGTAGATGACATAGTGATTACAGGCAATGATGGTGAGAAACTTGCAGCTATTAAGGCTTATCTACACAAAGAGTTTTCCATAAAAGATTTAGGCCCTTTGAAGTACTTCCTTGGTGTTGAGGTCGCTCGAACTGCTGAAGGCATTGTTTCAAGTCAGCGAAAATATGCCCTTGATATCCTTACAGAGGCAGGATTGCTTGGAGCGAAACCCAGCCATTTTCCCTTGGACCAGAATCATCGACTTGCATTGGCTTCTGGACCGTTGGCACCTGATCCTTCACAGTATAGGAGATTGGTTGGGAGACTGCTTTATTTAACAATCACTCGACCAGATATTTGTTATTCTGTGAGTATTTTGGCTCAATTCATGCAAAATCCCAAGCAAGAACATTTTGAGGCAGCCATGAAGGTCCTGCGTTACCTCAAGAGATCACCGGGGCAGGGGATTTTATTATCTTCTTCAAGCAAGTTGCAGCTGGTGGCATATTGCGATGCGATTGGGCAGGTTGCCCTCGTACACAACGCTCCACCACAGGGTACTATATTTGCCTTGGGGGCTCTCCAGTCTCTTCGAAGTCAAAGAAGCAGTCCATAGTTTCACGCTCCTCTGCTGAAGCAGAGTACAGGGCTATGGCTTCCACAGTAAGTGAGCTTACTTGGTTAAAATCTTTGCTTTTCAATCTCGGCATAAACCATTCAAGACCAATGACTCTCTTCTGTGACAATCAAGCTGCCTTACACATTGCAAACAATCCTGTATTCCATGAACGAACTAAACACATTGAAATAGATTGTTATTTTGTTCGAGAGCATATTCAGAAGAAGGAATTAATCACAGCTCATGTATCCTCTCATCACCAACCGACGGACCTTTTCACAAAAGCTTTGGGTCGTGAGCGCCTTGCTTTTCTACTATCCAAGTTGGGCATTCGAGATCTTCATGCACCAACTTGAGGGGGAGTATTGGAGAGTATCACGGAGTAGAATGAGGAAATCAGGAAATCAATTTCTGCACTATTACTGCAGAGTTATTTACAGAATGTATATATTTTTTCCTTGTACAGTAGCGTCTTTCTAGGCTTCATTATTGGTACCAGTTTGTATATATGATTAGCATCCATAGTAATGAAATTCAAGCAATTAGCACAATTTGCTGCTCCATACTCTATTTTCTCAGCAACTTCCTCCACCGAAAGATGCTCTGCGATAACCTGACAGATCAGCACATAAAAAAGCAAGGTTTTGAAAATCGAACCGAACCGGACGGTCGGACCAATTGAACCAGTACCCGGTGATCTAAATGGTTCAGTTACACCTTTTGAACTGTTTATATGGTTAAACCATTTGAAACCGCTCAAACCATTCAACCGGACGGTTCAATGCTTGGGCATAAAATCTTGAGAAATTTGTGTCTG